TCACCTAATTCTTGCTCGTTTGAAAATTGTTTATCACATGACACGCCACTTTTACTCGTGTCCTACTTTTCTTTGCTGTGAGGACTGTTATTTTAGTTAATTTTGTGAGGCTATTTCCTGCATTCTGCTTTCATTGTCTTGAAGGAAATTTATTCAATCTGGGCTCAATCTGCTTTCCACACTCTGCAGAGCAATTTTTTTGCATCTGCATCCTTGTAAGCTTCAGAAAGCACTGCAGTTGAAGGAAAAACAAACAAAACAAAACAAAACAAAACCCCACCTCTAGGTCATTCCATCAACCCCTCGCAGAGCAAAACTTACTAACTAGTAACCTAATCCAGACTTCGTTATCTGGAGGGTAAAAAATAGTTTGCAAATAACATACTCAAAATTAGAAGAACTTAATAGAACTTTATGCTACAGAGCAATAAGGTTAATGGTTTTCTCTTAATATATAATAAGAATGTGTTTTCTGAGTCTCCAATATTGAACTTGCACTAAAGTCTAAAACAAAACAAACAAACAAAAAACCCCAGTATTTCAATATTATCACCAGATGGTGCAAATATGTAATTTAGAGTCATCCATCATCAAGAAGCATGAATGCTGCTTTCCCATGTGAAATCCATGATGCATTCATATGAGACCATAGTAACCCATGAGAATCAAGTTAAAAGGGGGGGCGGGTTTAAAAGCACAGTATCTTAGTGTTCCATCAGGGCACTGCAGCAGGTAGTGATTACAGGATGATGTAAGTGTCTGGCAACTTGCCAGGCTGAAGTTAATCTCAAGTGCAAGCTTGTTATTTCCTAGACTGTATCTGTATATGCCTCTTAGCTTCTGTTTAAATTCTATGGAGATACTGTTCAGAATGATCTTTGAAGTAGTTACATGACTCCTCTTGCCATAAGTTACAAATTAGTAATGAAAATGTCTTTTCTAATTGAATAAACTTAAGTTAGTGTGATTATTGTTAAAAACATGTTTCCAGTTTGCATGTTAATTTATTACTCTTAACAAAAACACTCTAGAGTAAATGATACACCTAAGTTTCCAGAAATTTAGCAGGCCTAATCCCAACTATGTTACTATAGGTAGAAGGTATGTTGTTTCATTATAGCAGTTCAGCTCATATTTCGGAATATAAATCCTATCAGTTGAAGCATTCAAGTGGATGGCAAGTTTATTCCATGGCCTGAGGACTACTACTCATCATCTAGCACTGAACAGCAGATGATTATGTCATTAATGCTTTACTATGAAGTCACTTTTGAAGTTCAGCTGCCAAGCAAACTTCAGGATTCTTAAAAACTCAAACAAGATCCAAGCTGTAAGTGGTGGCACACATCTTTAATCTAGCACTTGGGAGGCAGAGGCAGGTAGATCAACGTGAGTTTGAGGCCAGCCTAATCTACATAGTGAGCTCACAGTGAAAAACAACAAAACTGACATGCTCAGCAGGTTACTCAATAAATACACAAAAGACTAGTAAAAGATTAAAAACTATCATTTAGGTGAAGAGTTAAAATTTCTTAAACCACACACAAAAAAAAAACCCATGATTCTGAAATGACAATTCCCACCTAATGGACAATATGGATCCTATTAGAAATAGTTAATAAGTGTTTGTGCCCTATTTTCCCAATACTACTCCTCTTCTCAATCTATCCAGGGTGGACAGCACTAAAAACACAGCTTTTTCCTCTGCCATAGACTCATAACGTCTCACGCAATATGAGGCTTCAATGTGAATTACAAATTTCTGCTTCATTTCCCATAATTTTTAGTTCAAATTCAACTGCCAGGGACCACTTTTTCCAAATAAGTACTGCCATCTCAAGCCAATGTTTCAGACATCTTTATCCAATCAATGACATCTCCCACCATTCCCACACCAGCTTCATAACACTATCCATCCGAAGAAACACAGTCCATTCACCTTTGAAACATCTTTCTCTCATCCATCTTTTTAGCTGTCACTGCCCTAGCACCATGCAATCCCCAACCCACTTTCATTCAACAATTAATAATTCCAGAAGTTTCGAGCTTTTCTATTTCTAGTACAATATATTCTCTTTCTCGACATGTTTTTAAAAAATGAAATTATGAGCTGGGGAGCTGGTAGTCAGTAAAACTCCTGTGGTAAATGTATGATGACCTGAGTTTAGGTCCCAGCACTCAGATAAAAAAGCCTGACATGGTGGCAACTACCCGCAGCCCTAGCATGGAAGAGGGCATTGGGACACACAACAGATGTCAATTCCTGGAGTTTGCTGGTCAGTCAGTCTAGCTAATCAATAAACTCTGGGTTCCATAAACAATATGGAAGAGTGACAGAGGAAGAAGCTGGATGTCCACTCCTGGCCTCTTCACCATGTGCACACCCACCTACCTATATACACATGTGCACAAAACATACGTACATTCATACATATACATACATACATACATACAAACATACATACACAGTTTCCACCCCCCCACACACAGGCAAGTTTTTAAAAGGGACGATATTAGATACATCTTTTTTTTTCATTCTTGACATTACAATATAGGCCAAAATTTAAATAAACACCCAAGCTGCAGCATAAGATGGCTAACACATTTATATTTGCAGTAGTGAAATATATGTAGTAAATCATAAACAAATAGTTTGTTACCATGACAGAGCTATATAACTTATACTATGTACAACTGCCAGTTTAACTAGGCAACAGTGACAGGTGACAAAAACAAACACCAAAATCACACGGGAAAAGAACAGAAAATGAATTTACCACAATAAAAATTTTACAATTTTAGGGATACCATCACTATCATGTCACATAAAGTTCAAAAAGTAAAAGAAACGGGGAAATACATTATTTTATCACCTAACTATTAGAATCAGTTTGGGGTTCCTTATGCTTTTTTTTCTATATGTATATTTTCTGCATAGGCTTAAATCACAACAAAAAAATAACTCACTTGAAATTTACTTAATTACCTAAAATGCTGATTTCAACCTATTATTCATTATAACTAAGTTATCATGAACCTTTCTACTTCCATTTAAAAAATTCATTTATCTTTATGTGAATGTGTGTTTGTGTACCATATGAGTGCCTAGTAATTGTCAGAAGCCAGAAGGCGGCATCAGATCCTCTGGAACTGCAGCTACTGGAGTTATGGATGTGCCTGAACCTCCATGTGGGCACTGAATATAGGTCCTGTGCAAGAGCAACCATGCTCTTAACTGCTAAGCCACCACTCCAGCCCCTAGCTTACTTTAGACAGTCTCAGAAATGGGATTAGAGGCTTACAGGCACAGACATTTTATAGCCACTGAAATCTTTAAACCTGTTCATCAAGACTAATTTACAAAGTGTCAAAAGCATGCATATATGAAGACCATCAGCTTCATACCTTTTGGGAATACCAATAAAAGGGAGTTCCAGATGGGAACTAGCAAATAATGGTCATATGTAGTTTCGAATTTTAGGATTACTACACCTTTCTGTGTAGATCAGGCTGGTCTGGAACCCAGGATTCTTTTTTCCCATATGACCTTTGGGGTACTGCAATTACAGGTATGCCCCATACTCACACCAAGACATTAGCTCTGACTAAAATGCTGTTGGGTACACACTTTGTGTGTGCAATGTTAGTGGTTTTAAATTCAAGGTTTTATATATGCTAAACAAACGTTACTGAGTATCTATATTCCCAAGATACTACACACAACAGGTGTCTTCATATATTTTCTATGTTTGATCTCTTAAGACCGTATACCAGTTTTTTAATCTCTTTAAGTCCACTGAAATATCTCTTGATGCAGTGTAGATAGAAAATGTTTTGCCTACATGTATGTATGTGACCACATGTATGCCTGGTACCCAGTATAGACAGAAGGCATTGGATGCTCTACGTATGACCACTAAAGCGATCTTCAAGAGAATCACTCAGATCTCTAACTTGAGTAGTATGCACACATTTCTTAGTACTCCAATTTCTGAAAACGCTTAACGCTGTTAAATAAAGTACTTTCTCAATAGTTTAACTTTAGTGGTGACAGAAGTTACAGAAAGCATCTCCCTAAGAAGTGATCTTAGTAGGCAGCTGTCAGACTGACATATATTAATGCAACTTTCAATCTTAGACAGAGAGGCTGTTTCTATAGTGGGCAGCAGTCAATGCAGAGACTCATAACGAATGACAGTGCTGAGAATAGGTGACAACTAAGTATTCAACCCTAAATGGGACATCCATCATCACCCTCTCCATCAAGACTCAGTGAACATCATGTAAAAAAGAGGTGTAAAGAATATAGGATGGGGAGGAATGTTGAGAAACGTTGTTTGCTGTCTTCCAGACATGACATGGCCATTACACTCACCACCTCACAGAAGCTATGGCTACCTGCACAAGATGAAGTCTTTCAACATTCTACCATGGATTAGGGAGGCACTCTACCTCTAGCTGAGGAGACACTGACAGATAACAGATATTGGGAGTGGGGGATCATTTTTCTTTGGGGTTATAGTTGCTAGTATGGTGTCTATGCTCACACCCATTGGTAAGCAGGTAGCACTAACTGAACACAGTGGATTATTTAAAAAAGAAAAAAAGAGAGAAGAGGACAATAAAGGTGGAAGGAAGACATGTAGGCATGGGGGAATGTCGGGGGAAATAAGGGGAATGATCAAGAATCCCTCTCTCTCACGCACACACACACGGTGCTGTCAAATAATAAATTTAAAATAGTCTCTAAAAAAGATTTTTATGTAAATGTTGCATTAGAGCAACTTAGTCTTTAGGAAAGAACAATGCCTGATACACAGGAAGCACTTAATACATAATGAATGAATGAACAAAATGAACAAACTTACAGAATAAGAGATGAAGCAGGGTTATTGCCTAAACTATCCCTCAGAAGATAGAAGGCATTGTTTCAGGATAATACTTAGTAGTAGCTCAAATCAAATAGACACCTACAAAGTTAAACAATAGGATTCACTCACCCACTGGACTATTTCCAGCTCCATTTGGCACTGCAAGGTCTGTAGTGCTCAACATCCCACCTAACAATGTTACACAGAAAAGAGAGAATTAATAAACTGGCCTTATTTCACAGTCAGAAGAGGTCATTGCAACTGTAACCCACATTCTATTCCTAAAAATCAAATCAATACAAATCTACCTCAGTCTAAAGTTTGCAACTAATGTACAATTTATACAACATACATATATATGTAGCATGTAACTACTAATTTGATATAATTTATACTACATACATATATATGTAGTATATAACTACATGTAACATGTTTACACATGTTATGGGGGGTCTATGTGTATGTGTAGTATACACATACATGAATTTACCTATTAAGCTCTTGATATATATACCTGCCACCCTGGGCATCAACATTAACTAGTAAATACTAACAAGTATGAGGACAGCTCATGCAGAAAACTATTAAACCTAGGACTTGGGGGAAGGCAATCTACATTGCATAGACTAAGGTGGCAAATGCACTGCAAACCGCTGCTGACTTGCTGAACTCAGTAGGAAGGGATGCACACAACATGCTCACTCCTGTATTTCTAACATAAGGTTCACATTCAACTTTAAATCTTCACTTGCAACATTTAAGTTAAATTCTCTACCTGTCAAAATATGACTTTCCCATGATAAAGAAAAATTATATATTGCACATTCTTTATACTATTCTACTTTGTCCAACAATGTTTATTCCTACAGATGTTTAAAAAAAGTACTTAAAATAAGCTTATGCAGCAGTGACTCTTTTTTGGGGGAGTGGGGGTGTTGAAACAGGGTTTCTCTGTGTAGTTTTGGAGCCTGTCCTGGAACTCATTCTGTAGACCAGGCTGGCCTCGAACTTAGAGATCAGCCTGCCTCTGCCTCCCAAGTGCTGGGATTAAACATGGTGCACCACCACACCTGGCCTGACCATAACATTAAGACTAAGGAGAATAAACTTCTCTATCAGCAATTCATTCCTCATCCTCTTTTTAAAAGAATGAAAAGAATATTTCACAACATACTTGCATTGCCAGTACTTGGTGGTCTCTGCGGAGCTCCAGGGGATACATTTCTATGTAACGTGGCTGGGGGTGGAGACAGCATGCTTGAATCTGCTAATGTTGAGCTGGCTGCCAAAGATGGTGACACAAGTGAACTTCCTGGGTTAGTGTACGGCAAAGCATTAGGGCTGGTCACAGGGACTGTGACAGACATTGAGAAGTTCTGAGGTGGCAAACCAGGCTGTAAATAAAGAACAAGGAAAACTATTGGTTTCATTTTCATCAACATTAAATAACTTTAACTAAGTAACTCTCATTATTAAAAGGAGAGGGTGGGGACAGTTTCTTCATTTGCAGTGTTAAGCTAATTTCTCTAGAATTAAACTTGAACATGAATATACCTGACTGACATGACTTTGTTATTTTCAATTTTACATTAAAACATATATGCTAGTATAACTATATATTTCAAATATTCAAAGCGATAAAATTAAAAGTTAAAACCTGGAATTAAAATAATACTGCTGAATTTAGACATTACAAAATATATCAGATACCAAGTAAGCATTAGTTAGAACTCTAGTGCAAATCAATTTAACATTACATTTCTATTGAGGAAGCGAAATAAAACCAAAGGGAAAGTATATACACATTATTAACTTAATACATCAATTTTGGGATATTATGAATAAGTCAAGTATGAACTGACTGACAGACATTTTTTAAACTAGAAAAGTCAAGTAATTATACACAGAACACAATGTAATTTCTATATAATGAAATATACAAAGAAACCACCTACACAGTAAAGATTAATTACTGCCAAGTTAGAATAAAGAGTCTTGGTATTTTTAAAATTGTATAATTATTAAATTATAAACATTATAAAAGCGATCTTCTTGTCAAAATATATCATGTTCTCTCTGAAAGGGCATTTCCTAGTTTCCTCTGGCATTTCCTCCATAGACCGATTTCAATACATTTGTTGGCCATGATAAACAGTGGGCTACTTCATAATTTAGAGTTGTAAGGGAAAAGTCAAGAAACAATGAAGCAATTTTATTATATTCTTGCAGCTTAACTGTGGGAACAATATCCCTATGAGATCAGAGAAACTTTATTTGCTACTGTTGTTTTTAATAATGGTATTAGCTTAAAAATTGTTTAAAAACTATTTTCATGTGATTCTTTCTATAGAACTACTCTGAAGAAATGACATATGATGAGTATCATTCTTTAGGGAATAATTCAAGAGACTGAACTATGCCAATGAAAAGAAAAACAAAAACAAAAACAAAGTACCAGCACTGGAGCCAGCTGGTTCCACAACAGCTACACAACATACACAGTGTTGGAGAAGACAGCTACAGTAATGGAGAGTCTAGTCCAGGCACACGACTGTTTGAGCATGGACGGTTTCACAGGGCTAGATAACTGTGCACAGAAGAATTACAGTGACTAGTTGTTATGAGACTGGTTTAAGGATAAGAGTTCCCTTAAATTGAATCCAGTCTTCATCTTTAGTGCTGAGAGTATAAGAAAAAAGCAGTTATTTATGTATTCAGGGTTCTTGCTGTTCAGAGCTTTGGGACATTGTACAAAAAGCTCAACAGTTAGCCCAGCTCTTCTAAAATGAAGATAATTACATAAAATAAGTAAAAATGATTTAGAGGCATGAAATCTTACAACAAACTCAACAAACTTACATTTAACATTCTTAAGATCAACTATATGTGTGTATGCATACGTATGTTAAGTTATGGGAAAGACTGGAATGTTCCATATACACTTTATACTAAAAATCAAGGAATTTCAAAATTAGAAACAATCTTAAAAATTATGTGAGCCAACTCATTTACTTCACATATTAAGCAGTTATAATTCAAGACATATGGATAGTTTATGTAAACACAGATGTAATGACATAAAGGACAATTAGTGGCAGGACCTGAAGTGGGACGTTTTCTCTTCATTTCTACACTTAAGATACCCAATATTTATTACTACAAGATTTTGGCATTTCAAAGTTCTGTAAAACCAAAGAGTTAATAAGCACCTTCTTTCCTCTTATACTTATTGTCATCAATCCTCTGTTAAAAATGAGGTAGGATGTGTGGTCAATCTCTTCATGCACATGATAAAAGCACAAGCCATACTTTAGTACTCACTGCGATCTTATGATTCCGCATCATATTATCAAATTCCTCATTAATTTTTTTATATTTTTCTTCTGTATGTGGAGTTAGCACATAGGAAGTATCGGGGTCTGGGCTGTCGCACCCTCTGTGTTCCTTCTTGTTCAGAGCCTAAATATGAAGTTAACAAAAAGGATCAACAAATAAAAAGTAAAGGTAAAGTGAAAGTACTTACAGGGCCTCGTTTGAAAATAAAATCACTATCTTCATTTAGTTTGCTGAATCTGTCCTCGGAGAGTGGACTGTGCTCAAAGTAATCGTCAGCATCAGGGCTCTCACAACCATTAAGGCCTTTCTTTCTTAAAGTCTGAAATACAATTGGAAAATTCACACAAAAAGGATACTAACTTTCCATGAGTTTTTTTGTAAAATGTGTTAAGAGAGCACAGGTCGAATAAACGGCATCATTTAAGAGCCACTGAATGATTATCAAATGACCACAAATATACTGCATTCTCCAAGTAACATAAGCCAAAGATGGAAGCAAACTGAGCTCTCCTACTGTACATTAAGAAAAAAAGGAATATTTGCTTTTCTGGACTCTTACTTTTCAAACAGCTTAGTGGATACTAAAATCACTTCATGTTCTGAGACACAGCTGGCATATGGTTAGTAAAGTTAGTAAGAATACAACAAGATGAACATCAAAATGATATGTTGAGAAATTACAGTATTTTTATACACAGGTCATGTCTGCCATTTCATCTTCTGGCATTCCTTTCTAGCTATCAGGATTCATCCTATTCATTAGGAATTAGCCCAGAATCCCAATAATTTATTGCTAATTTATTCTCTTTCATATTATCATTTTCCCACATATTCTTAAAATACAAAATCTTCAAACCACATTTATCAACAGTAACTCTTTCCTATGTATGATGAATGTCAACTTTCTCAGTGACTTTTTATATGTTAAAAATCTTTAGTGAAAAGTTACTCAGAATACATTTCTTCTCTCCTTGCTAGCTTTTGCTCTACAGTTCCTTCAGTTTACTTTAACCTAGAATTGATTAGATAACTCTCCTGAGTGTCTATGAAGTGCTCCCCTGGACCACATTTTTTTTCTTACTTTGAAGTAAAAAATATAAAGGATGATTAGTTTTCTGATTTCTCTTTTAAGAAAAGGTCATCATGAAATAAGATTTAATTTTTAAAAGAATAAAACTCCTAAAGGCTTAAAAATAATAAGAGTATCAATTTACCTTTAGAATGCTTAATTCCATGTTTAAAATCTGAGTTATCTCACTCAGTTTAAGCAGAGCTACTGACAACTCAAGACAGTTTTGAACTATGCTGAGTTTTTAGCACAACAACAGACAGCACTAGAATTAAATGCCTGCCATTATTGGAGCAAAAATAAGTGCGATCAAAGAGTTAGACCAGACATATCACCAGCAAGTGATTAACTTGGATGTAATAGTAATGACTTTAGTACCCTGCAAAACTTGACTTGCAATGATTTTGGATATTTGTTTTATTCCTGTCTTTCCTGGAAGTATAATGTGTCTACAGAACATTATGATTTGAGAACTTATTCTTAAATGTCTTCAAATGATTTTGAAATTTCATCTTACTCAGTATGGTTTATTTTTACATGCTAAAAATTAAAAGCTAGACATGCTAGCCTCTCCAAGTGCTTCTCATATGTTAGGAATTCAGTACACAACTCTTGAAACTCATTAAATATAATCATTAAACATAAGCATGCTACAAACTACATCTACTCTCCCAGTAGCTTTAAGCCCTACAGTCTAATGACATTACATTGACATTTATGTGTATTTGGCTAAAAATGTTCCTATTGTCCAATTATCCTCACCATCTGTGGTAGCAAGTTCTACTTGCCAAATTTCTAAAGTTATTATCAGTAGTGAAAATCTTAACACCAAGAATGGAACACATTGAACCCTTAAAACCTACACAGCTCTAGAAAAAGAACAAATATGGTGGGCATCTATATATACAAATATCATCATGAAACTGATCATTTAACTTTAAATCTCTGGGTACTTGCCCAGTTTTCACATTTCTTTATTAAAGAGTACATAATTCCAGGATGGAGAAATGGTTCAGTTGGTAAAGTATTTACTACACAAGCCGAGGACTTACTCAATCCTCACCACCCCCTTGAAAATGCTTGGTGTAGTGGTCCATGGTTCTACTGTTAGCCCCAAGGCAGCAGAGACAGGAGGATGCCTAGGGCTTATAGACTCAGTAAAGATTCTGTCTCAAAAAATAAGCCAGAGAAGCAACCGAGAAAGACACCAACCTTAACCTCTGGTCTTCAAAGTTACACACAGACACACAGACATAGAGACATACACAGAAAGACATCAATTTGGCCTTGTTCTTCTTTGTAGATTGAACTGTTTATCACTCAGTTTTCTACAAATACCAACTACAAAGTATGTATCTCATAACATTTTTAAATAGACAGTTCAAAACAACACAATGCTGCTTTAAAATTACATGTAGTTCTTAATTCTATGAAAGAAGGGTTAACCCTACTGGTACTTAAGAAGAAGTAAAGTGCTGTGGCATCTGCAGCTCTGCAAGTCTTCATTTCAGATAGGCTCCTGGCACAAGGAGAGAATTTAAGAGGCAGTATCAGCATTGTAGATAATAAGCTAATACAGCTCCATTTGACAGCCAACTCTGCTCCTTATCACCAAGCATGAAGAGTGCTTTTGAGGACCCAACTACCATATAAAGACTTTTTCTCTCTTTATCATTACCAAATAACATAGCAGTAAGTTTCTCCAGTCTCTGGTACTAACAAGTGGAATGCTGCAATCTATTAACAAGGCCAGGCAAGGCATGAAGAGACCGGCCAGTTTCAGTATTCTTACCAGTTTCCATAGATAGCACTTGCTCACCACGCCAGTGGATAGCGGGACTGGGGCTAGAATCTACTTTTTCCAATGGTCAGTCTACTTTCCACTATGCTATATTCCTTAAAACTGTTCAACATTACTCAACAAATCAAATTGAGACCAGACAGAGGCTTGTGATCTGGTCTCATTTAAGTGCTGAGAGGACATTTATTGTCTATGTAGTTGCAGACATGTCTTCCTTCTTCCATGATCCTATACATATCTACCTCAGCAAGAAGAAAGTAGTGTGCAGGCTTTATCTTCTTAGTATTTTAAGGTCTTAGTTCTATGACTGTAGGTTTCACTGAAGGAATTGTAAAAACAGTAGTAACACTTCTTTCCCTACCCTGTCCCTCTATCACAGCCATGTGGAGCTTTGTTTTCCGGGATCTGTATACTAAGTAGCCAGGCACAGTTTGTTTCCAGAGAGAACATAATTTTACAGCTGTCTTTTAATGAAACTTATTTTGAGTACGTGAAAACTTAGGAAAGAATGAATATCTTCAAAAGCCATGGTAAGGTAGCTCATGCATTTAATCTAAGCAATCTGGAAGTAGAAATAGACATATCTCTGAATGTACAAGGCCAGCCTGGGGCAGATATCTGATTTCAGGCTAGCCATGACTACATACTGACACAGTCTCAAGAAAGCAAACAAACAAACATTAAGTTCTGACTCCTTGTCCATCTGTTTTGTTTTTCTCTCACTTAAAAAACAAGCAAATCCTAGGAACTTTGCCTTTTATTTGGTACCCAACAAAATTTATTGAGAATATCCCCTTAGGTTTTTAATACTGGAAAAGATAGTAACTGTATATCAAGTCTGCAGTGGTCACCCAATGGCCACTGCTTTCTTATGGTGGCAGCCATCGGAAATAGCTGCAAAGCAGTCTCTACATCTATCTCCCTGTTTACCTATTGAGCCTTATGATCTTGCTTGTTTCAGACAAGGTTTCACACTTCAGGCTGGCCTTGAATTCCTGATCCTCCTGTCTCTGCCTCCCAAGTGCTGGGATTATAGGCCTACAGGCATGTACCACCATGGTAGGATCTGTCTTGCATTTCTGCATACTGGATCATCTTGATGTGCAATAATCCTTTTTTTTTGGGGGGGGGTGGATTTCAAGACAGGTTTCCTTTGCGTAACAGCTCTGGCTGTACTGGGAACTAGCTCTGTAGACTAAACTGGCCTCAAACTCATAGAGATTTGTCTGCCTCTGCCTCCCAAATGATGGATTAAAGGTGTGTGCCACCACTTCCCAACCTTGATGTTCCATAATCTTAAAAGGGTTATTAGATTCTGAAACACAGGAAAAGGTGTCACTCTTCAAACCGTATATAAATTTGCTTTTCTGATACAAGAGCTTTCTTAGACTTATAAAATTTTAGCCTAAAATCTCATATAATGCTGACATTTGGTTTATAAACTCTCAAACATAATCCTCTTCCTCTTTTCTCATTACACATATGCTTGGCACTAAAGAACTCTTACTGTAATCCATTGGGAATACATAGGAGAAAGCAGTAGATAATTCCTAAGGCCCCAGTTTTATGTGAAGGGCAATGCATTAGACTCATCAATTTAAAAATAAATGCTAGTTTTTGCCTTGCATCTGGATCTACGAGATCCTAGCATTCTGCAACTCTTGTATGGAGATAGGTACATGACTCAGGGTAGCTAGAACCTTAAATACCTCTTCACCTTCATGTTCTTAGTGTCTCTGAGTTTTGGCTTGGCATAGTCTTTCAGATTTCTTTGACACCATAAAAATTTTGTAACCTTTGAAAACTTAAATGCAGAACTTACCATATAACCCAGGAAATTCCACTTCTAGTTAGACATCAAGAGAAATGAAAACACATGCCCATACAAAAAAGTTTGTACATACTTCAATGTAGCGGATGCACTATTATTCAAACATAGAGAAAGTCTTGATACATGCTATAATTTAGCTGGAAATATAAATGTATGTAAGCTGGGCGGTGGTGGCGCACGCCTTTAATCCCAGCACTCGGGAGGCAGAGGCAGGTGGATCTCTGTGAGTTCGAGGCCGGGCTGGACCGACAGCCTCCAAAACAATACAGAGAAACCCTGTCTCGAAAAAAACCAACCAACCAACCAACCAACCAACCAACCAACCAAATAAATAAATAAATAAATAAATAAATAAATAAATAAATAAATGTATGTAAAAGAAGTCGAAAAAGACAATATAGTGTATGACTTCATTTAAATGA